ATATAATATATTGCATTTTATAAAGATAGTTATATACAAAGACATATTTTGAAACAGAATCAATGTATCTTGTTCTTTCGAAAAGAATTGCCATTTTGTCTTTAACAAGACTATAACCACATCATTTTTATTGATATATTTTATATTAGCGGCATTGTAAAGTTATGCTCAAGAAAAACTATTATAGGATATTCGAGAAAATATGGAAAAACATTCAGATAGTAAGAAATATATGAAATGGAACTTAGAAAACACTGCAACTATACTCTCTGAACAATTTCCTAGAAGTCATGTATTTATTGTTCGTCCAAGCAGGTAAAACACACTTAATTTTATACAAAGAATTTGAAATATTTCACTACTAATCTTATGTGACATAATTTCTTGTTAATGCTAATTAGTTAATGAAAATTATTAGAAGAAATTATAATTTTCTCTTTTTTTTTTTAATGTTATCTTTATATTAAGTTACCTATGTAATGATTTTATTTGTTTCAGGATGTTATTAACTAAATATGCAGTCTTCAGTTGTTTCGATAACTTTGTACCAGGAGACAAATATGGTACACCCTCATTTTGCCCGATGCACAAGGCTTTAAAACATTTAAGAGAACTTCTTCTTTGCTGCCTAGAACACATTAAAACATTAAAAATGGAAGAAGTATGCATAAAAAAACCATACATATAAAAAATTGAATAAATCAATTGCACATTGATTTCATTCAACTTTAATGTGTTGTAATTGTATTTATAATTTGTACCTTTATGAGATATACTCTTGAAAGATACATACAATTCATATAAATCAATTTATGTATTATATGCATTTAAGATGATATACATAATATTTAAGACATCAAATTGATAAATATTGAATACATAATATTTTGATTTATACTTTTTAGGATATCGATGATGTTCGTAATATTGAAGCAACAAATTTAAATCTAATGGGCTTCAGTAAAGGATGTGCGGTTTTAAATCAATTTCTTTATGAATTTCACTATTATGCTGAAAATCCAAGTGAGAATATTAATATAAATAATTTTATAAAACTCATCAAAAGTATGTGGTGGCTGGATGGTGGACACAATGGTTCCAAAAATACATGGATTACAGAGCACAGTATACTTCGATCTTTTGCTAAATTAAGTAAGATGACTCAGCAGACCTAATATCTTTAAATAATAATCTTCTGGCAATATTTTGATGTAATGTAATTAATATATTTTTTTATTATTTTTAGGAATAAATGCTCATGTACACGTTACGCCATATCAAGTGCGTGACATTCATCGGCCATGGATTGGTTTGGAAGAAAATAGGTTCAATGAGGTCTTACAAAATATGGAAGTATCTGTACGACGAACTTTACATTTTGGCGACAGACCGCGAAGTTTATCATTGCATTTTAATATTCTTACAGATATCGGAAGTAATGTAGAATAAAGTTGTTGTACATTTTTCAAATGTTGAATGTTGAAAATATATTAATTGATCATTTATCTACAAATTAAAATAAAATTGGTACTAGATGGTAAGTACTAGATGGTAATAGATACCAACTGTTTTCTCATTTAAGAATCAAAACGAACATCAAACTATATATGTAAAATCTTGATCTTATTGATAATATAATTGTGTAATTTAATTCTTGTATTGCAGATTATTTAAACAAATAATTTAATAGAATTTATTTTATGGAATATTCCTGCAATATATACCTTAATTTGTCCACAATATATTCTTAAAATCTAGTCATAAATAATAAAGTTCATTACGTACAAATGTATGTGATATAATATTTACAGTATTATTACAATTACTGTGTGTATACAATTTTTATGATATTATTACTATATGATATGCTATGTGATATTTTTTGAATAATTACTAGTTACAAAACTAATAGAGATTGTAATTGTTTATTTTAATACCCTAAAGAAATATAATAAAATCATGATACCCATTTTTTATTTTTATATAAATTTCATTGCATCTTTTATTTTTATAAATTTTTCATTTTTTATCATATTTTATAAATGTAACATCTATCTTTATAAATATGAAATAAAAAATAAAAAACAAGGTAAAAAAAA